ATCCTGGCCCCTGAGCTGGCCCCTAGGCGCTCCAATACGCTGGTCGATGGCATTTTGACAGCGTTTTACTTTTTTTTGTTATTTTTTGTAGCCATTTTTTTCTGGTATGCTTAGAAAAATGTAAGGATCATGTCTTTAAAATTTCATTATTTTTTGACGTCGTTTTTATTTTATTATTATTTTTAAATACAAAAAATAAAGAAAATGATAAAAAATAGAATATTTATCAAAAAATTGTGCTGCTTGTTACATTTATACATAAAAATTATATATTAATTTTAGAATACAAAACATAAGTAAAAATGTAAATTTTTACCCATCCTAGCCCATGAGCTGGCCCCTGGGGGCCTCACTACGCGGGCAGGGGGCATTTTGACAGTATTTTACATTTTCTGTCATTTTTTGGGGCCCTTTTTTTTCTGGCATGCTTAGAAAATGTAAGTATCGTGTCTATAAAATTTCATTATTTTTTTACGTCGTTTTTATTTTATTATATTTTTTAAATACGAAAAATAAAGAAAATGATAAAAAAAATAAAATATTTATCAAAAAATTGTACTGCTTGTTGCATTTTTTTCTAAAAATCATATATTAATTTTAGAATACAAAAACTAAATAAAAATGTAAATTTTTGACCCATCTTGGCCCTTAAGCTGACCCCTGGGTGCCCCAATACGCGGGCCGGCGGCATTTTGACAGCGCTTTACTTTGTTGTCATTTTTTGAGTCTTTTTTTTTGGCATGCCTAGAAAAATGTAAGGATCGTGTCCATAAAATTTCATTATTTTTGGACATCGTTTTTATTTTATTATATTTTTTAAATACGAAAAATAAATAAAGTCATAAAAAATAGAATATTCAGCAAAATATAGTGCCGCTACAGGCATTAATTCCTAAAAATCATATATTAATTTTAGAATGCAAAACATAAATAAAAATATAAATTTTAACCCGTGCGAGCCCCTGAGCTGGCCCCTAGGAGCCCCACTACGCGGGCCGGGGGCTTTTTGACAGCATTTTACTTTTTTTGTCACTTTTAGAGGCCATTATTTTCTGGCATTCCTAGAAAAATACAAGGATCATGTCTACAAAAGTTTATTATTTTTTGACGTCGTTTTTATTTTATTATATTTTTTCAAGACGAAAATAAAGAAAGTCATAAAAAATAGAATATTCATCAAAATATGGTGCCGCTGGTTGCATTAATTCTTAAAAATTTTATATTAATTTTAGAATGTAAAATATAAATAAAAATATAATTTTTGACCCATCTCGGCCCCTAAACTGGCCTCTGGGCGCCCCACTACACGGGCCGAGGGCTTTTGGTAGCGTTTTACCTTTTTGTCATTTTTTTTGGACATTTTTTTCTAGCATGCCTAGAAAATGTAAAGATCGTGTTGGCAAAATTTCATTATTTTTCTACGTCATTTTTATTTTATTATATTTTTTAAATACGAAAAATAAAGAAAATCATAAAAAATAGAATATTCATAAAAAAATAGTGCCACTTATTGCATTAATTCCCAAATGGAATATATTAATTTTAGAATATAAAATATAAATAAAAATGTAAATTTTTGACTCATCTCGGCCCCTGAGTTGGCCCCTAGGCACCCCACTACGCGGGCCGATGACTTTTTGACAACGCTTTACTTTTTTGTCATTTTTTGAGGTTATTTTTTTCTGGCATGCCTAGAAAATGTATGTATCATGTCCGCAAAATTTCATTATTTTTTTACGTCATTTTAATTTTATTATATTTTTTAAAGATGAAAAATAAAAAAAAATCATAAAAATAAGAATATTCATCAAAAAATTATACCGCTTATTGCATTAATTCCTAAAAATCATATATTAATTTTAGAATATAAGAAATAAATAAAAATGTAAATTTTTCACCCATCCCGGCAACTAAGCTAGCCCCTGGGCACCCTACTACACGGGCCGGAGGCTTTTTGACAGCGTTTTAATTTTTTTGAGGCCATTTTTCTCTGGCATGCCTAGAAAAATGTAAGGATCGTGTCTGTAAAATTTCATTATTTTTTGACATCATTTTTATTTTATTATATTTTTAAAGATGAAAAATAAAGAAAATCATAAAAAAAATATAATATTCATCAAAAATTTGTGCTTCTTATTGCATTTATTCCTAAAAATCATATCTTAATTTTAGAATACAAACATAAGTAAAAATGTAAATTTTTGACCCATCCTGGCCCCTGGGCACTCCAATACGCTGGTCGAGGGCATTTGGACAGCATTTTACTTTTTTTCTCATTTTTTGTGGCCATTTTTTTTTTCTGCAATGCTTAGAAAAATGCAAGGATCATGTCTTTAAAATTTCATTATTTTTTGACGTCGTTTTTATTTTATTATATTTTTTAAATATGAAAAATAAAGAAAATTATAAAAAATAGAATATACATCAAAAAATAGTGCCGCTTGTTGCATTAATTCCTAAATGGCTTATATTAATTTTAGAATGCAAAACATAAATAAAAATATAAATTTTTGACCCATCTCGGCCTCGGAGCTGGCCCCTGGGTACGCCACTATGCGAGTCGAGGGCTTTTTGACAGCGTTTTACTTTTTTTTTATCATTTTTTGAGGTCATTTTTTTCTGTCAAGCCTAGAAAATGTATGGATCATGTCCGCAAAATTTCATTATTTTTTACGTCATTTTTATTTTATTATATTTTTTAAAGACGAAAAATAAAAAAAAATCATAAAAAATAGAATTTTCATCAAAAAATGGTGCCGCTTGTTGCATTAATTCCTAAAAATTATATATTAATTTTAGAATGTAAAAAATAAATAAAAATCTAAACTTTTGACCCATCCCGGCCCTTGAGCTGGCCCCTGGGCACCCCATTGCGCGGGCCGGGGGCTTTTTGATAGTGTTTTACTTTTTTGTCATTTTTTGAGGCTTTTTTTTCTAACATGCCTAGAAAAATGTAAGGATTGTGTCTGCAAAATTTCATTATTTTTTGACGTCGTTTTTATTTTATTATATTTTTAAAGACGAAAGTTAAAGAAAATCATAAAAAATAGTATATTCATCAAAAAATTGTGTTTCTTATTGCATTTATTCCTTAAAATCATATATTAATTTTAGAATACAAAACATAAGTAAAAATATAATTTTTTGACCCATCCTGGCCCCTGAGCTGGCCCCTGGCCGCCCCAATACGCGGGCCGGGGGCATTTTGATAGCGTTTTACTTTTTTTGTTATTTTGTAGGCCCTTTTTTTCTGGCATGCTTAGAAAAATGCAAGGATCGTGTCTGTAAAATTTCAATATTTTTTGACGTCGTTTTTATTTTATTATATTTTTTAAAGATGAAAAATAAAGAAAATCGCAAAAAATAGAATATTCATAAAAAAATGGTGCCGCTTGTTGTATTTATTCCTAAAAATCATATATTAATTTTAGAATACAAAATATAAGTAAAAATATAAATTTTTGACCCATCCCAGCCCTTAGGCCCCTGGGTGCCCCAAACATAAATACAGCCAATTACTTCTTATTTACTTATCATTTGCTCCACATGCTTAGTAGTAAAAAAAAACAACACAAAATGTATTTTAAGCAGTAGTCTACGCTATATTTTAGACAACCCAGTTGAATTTGAACTGGCACCAACTTAATTTTCCCATTTTTTTCAACAAAAACATTATTATATATGTATATAGTTTCTCGTTAAGTTGCCCCTGCTACATTTTCAAAGGGGCTTCCAAACATATATAGCTTTTTGCTTGACAAATAGATTATGGTTTGAAGTTTGAGAACAAATTGAAGCCCCCAACAACTCCCATCCCATTTGGCAGCACCAAAAAAAAAAAAAAGAAAGAAAGAAAACCAAACGAACAAACAAACTATCCAATTCAACCAACAAAAACACCCCACAACCATATCCCAGATGCGCCCCTTGGTTTTCCTGCCTTTAATTTGACTTCTTCTCAATACCTCTGCTAATTTCTAGTATTTTGCCCAGTAACTTGTCAATATAAACTCCAAATTTCCCATTAAACTCAACT